TGCTTCAGAGGCCATAACAGACTTTGTTGATTTACCAACAGTTGATTTAAAAAATCTAATCAATTTCAGTCCAACTCTCTCAATAACCTTGGCCAAAACAATAAACAGTTCAACATAAAGTGCCAGTTGCACCAACAACATAATAAATAGTTCAACATAAAGTGTACTGTACCATTTAAAATAAAATAAAAAAGTGCCAGTGATTGACCTCAATCCCTCCTATTCTTCCAATATCCTGATGAAAAATAAAATCTCTCTGTTGCATAGGCCACTGTTTGATCAACGCGAACTGGGTGTGGGGGTCCTTGTACTCCGAGTCGGGCTAACGTCCACGCTAGCTTCCACGCTAGCTGCTATATGTTTTGCATTGAGGTGATACTTGAGGCTTGATGTGCTGCGGTGATATGCGAATCCCTTTTTGCATGATTTGCAAACAACCGTGCTCTTATTGACGCTTCCATCCATCCGTTTTTTAAAACAAAATGTCCCATTCACGGGGCCAACCAAAGCGGTCTCATCACCTTCTTCGTTCACGTTTGACTATTGTTCACTGTGGTTTGTTGTTGTCTGAAGTAATGAACGTTAGTTGGTGCTCCAGTATAATCGGTACCCCTGAAACTCATCCAGTGAGAAACGTTCCGCGGTGCAAAAATAAGTGCGATTAAAATGCGTTAATTTTTTTAACGCGTTAATTTTTGTGTAATTAATTAATCTTAATTAACGCGTTAAAGTCCCGGCCCTATTTAAAACATAAATAAACATGTGTTCAGCCTGGTACAATAAAAACAATTATGTTTTGGTTGAGTTAAGAAAAACTGTGTGTGATTTTCACACACTGTATGAGACACCACGTCTCACCTCAGCAGGGGGTTCTCGAAGATGTGCAGCTTGCGTCTGAGCGTCTCGAGCTGGTCGTAAAGCTGTAGGCCCTCCACCATGGACACGTTGTCCAGCTCTGAGTCCGAGTCGGTGCTGAGGCCGCTGCGCAGCACGGTGAACTGCTGGAAGCACTGGGAGCAGCTCTGCAGCAAGGACTGGTACTCTGCCACCAGGCCGGCTGGCACTCTGTCCTCCAAGATGTCGTAATATCTGAAAGTATACACATTTTCAAAAGAACAATTTGTGGGAATAAAATATGACGTCATCACCCAGACACAAAGTTTACTTACAGCCTGAGACGAGGCTCCACACAACGAACAAAGTAGTCAAAGTCATCTTCGTCTTCCTCATCCCACTGCCTCCAGATGTGTTCGTAGAAAAACCTGCAGGAAGAAGAGGAAGAGGATTGCACAACTACTCAGTAAAGTGTCAAACCATTTAGAACTGGACAAAGAATAATATGTGAACTGGGACCGAGGATGAATTCAGAAGTCCCACCTGAGGTGCTCCACAGCGAGGGCGGTCTGATCAAAGTCCCCAGAGAGCTCGTAGACCACCTGCAGCTGCTGCAGGGGGACTTTGTCTCCGGAGGCACCCAGCAGGACCTTCATGGCCTCCTCAGTGAGGTCACAGCCCCGGGTGTCGCACTGCAGAGGCAGCACCAGCCGCACACAGGCCTTCAGATCCTTGAAGTCCACGTCACACACCTGAAACCACGAACAGCCGTTCTCTGTAAACATGTTTGGATCCACTTCTCTGTGGGTACAGGCAGCTGCTCAACTGTGTGTCGAATCAATGAGCTGTTGGAAACGATTTAGAACCACCTCATGATACTCTCTGCATTGTGTTTGCATTCACAGCTTTAAGTGGTGCAGTTTCACGTTACGGCCCTAATGGTTTTCTTACATTTAGAAAAACTAAACTAAGTTTAAACTAAAAGGAAACGAGTAGGGATGGGTATGGTTAGGATTTTATCGATACCGGTACTACTTATCGGTATTTTTCTATACTTTTAAATAATTTGGTGCTCAAAATTATAGACATGAATACAAGATGTGAAGATTAAACAGTAATTTTATTGTAATTTTCTTGCAGAAATAACTTTATAACTTATACTTTAGCTTCTCCGAAGCAGACAAAAATAAATAAGATAACTTAAAGGTGCCTGGCTCGCCCAATCATGCTTTTTGGGGTTTTCCCTCAGACAGAGGATGAAAAGAGGCATTTTTTTAAAACATTTTTTAACATTTGTAATTCATTTACATCTTCATCCAGACATTTCAAACTGACAACCTAGCTCGACAAGATATCCTTAAAACATTGTCCAACATTGACATCATTGAAAACTGTGATATGAAGAAATTGGTCAAAAGGCTAAGATGGCAAAAAGATAAAGGCGAGTACGTATATTATTCTGGATTGTACTTTTAAATCACAAAATAAATTATGTGCTGAACTGAAACCCGTCAAAATGTGTCTGAAGGTTTAAACATAGAACAACGTATTTGAGCTTAAAGTATGTCAATTCCTAATTTCCTAGTAAACGACCAACAATTGCTGAACCATACATTGAAACGTTGACCTTTAACAACATTTAAATGCAGTTTTCCAATTCAGAATGACATCTGTAAGTTTAACTGGTTTATAAAGCATTCAATGAAAGGCCAAATTATTATAGGTTGAGGAGCTCACATTAATACACTGTCAGTGTTAATAAACTAAAAAAAGACAAGGCGATGTGCCTGCAAGACTTCACTCAGGTAAACAAAACATATTACCCGTGCGCAGCAGCTAACCTGCCTGCGAGCCTTCGCTCAGGTCACATTTACACACGGCGCGGCTGAAGCCCGCTAGCAATAGCAGTATCGCTAACACCGTTTTAGATTCAATGAATGTCTCGTTAATTTGCTTGTGTTACTTACCTCCGTTACAAGCAACTAATTGAGTACGTAGATTGCACCTTGCACTATCGCCACTACATTTTTTTAAAGTGCACCCAGACCTTCGATCGCTTCGCTCTGTCCGCCATGCCTGCGGGAGTCTCAACTAGTGATGTGTCGGTCGCGAACGTCTTTTAAGTGAACGACGGGAGCCGGTTCGCGCCCGAGAACGAGCCGGTTCTTCTTCTTTTTTGCGGAGGGATCTAGATCGGCATGAAGGCACATTATGCAATGTGCAATGTGCACATTATCCCGCTTATTACATGGCCACATTCTCAACAAAGTAACGGCATGACTCCCAATATTAATTGAAATGCTTTTATGGATTTAGAAGATGATTTTATTGATTGAAAAAATAGTTGTATTGATTTAAAAAATAGTTGTATTGATTTAAATTGACATGCATCCGCTCAGAAAAATAGTCCGTTGTTACCGTTTTTTAAACAGTCTGAATGAAACGGCAGTTCTCAGCTGTGTATTTACACAACTAATGGCCCAACCACAGCTCTATCCCCCCCTCCCCCCTTGATCTTTCTTCTCCAGCAGCTAAATTAATTGTAGGTTACTCTGAGTGCCATTAAGAAGAAACCGAATTCCTTACAAATTACTTCATATTCTACCAGTTGTTAAGTGTTGCATACATCAAAGTGTATCTGAAAGTATCTTAGTAACACAAGAAAAGAGAAAAAAAGCCAAAAATCTGCCTAATGTCATTAAATAACAACCGGTGGTTTACTCCGTTTACCTTAAATAATTGATTTAAAAATACTGCTGCTGGTTTTAA